CATAGGCGCTGTGCCACAGGATACCCCAGGCTATGGAATGGATGTTTATAACAGAGCTTTGCTATTTGCAAGGACTTTCTATAGGGACAGGGGGAAGAGGTGATCCCAGCTCTGGAGGCAAGTCATTTTGTCTAATTAAAGAAACATTAGTGAGCTCCTGTTAACCAGCTCTAGGGCACTGGGTTACTTATAATATGGAAATCATTGTATCCCCTACTTTCGTCATGGGACTGACCTAAAGAGCAGGTGAGATAATGTCTGTGAACGTGCGGAGTAAACTTGAAGCACTAATTGTACTGCTGTGGGCTCCAGCAGATGGGACATTTACTCTGTGCCATTCATGAGGTTCAAATACAAACTCTCCATTCCCAGGCATTCAGGAGAGCAAACACCTTCTATTTGGCTTTAACACTGAATAGAAAGTAAATAGTACCTTTTCAGCTGCTTTGCTTCCTCTCTTCTCCCTTCAAAACAAAAGCCAGGCCCTTTAAGTGCTTCCTGCTGAGTTTGTAAAGAGGTGCTGGGTTACAAATCCAGCCCCAGCTCCCAGGACCTTAGAGTCTGGGGAAGAGGAAGCATTAGAACAAGGCTGTCTAAGGACACCTGAGCTTGGTCCTCTCAAGGCCTAAGACAGGACCAAGTAAGCAGACGTGATCCTTTCTCTTCCCCAGAGCTGGTCACAAGAGGAGCACCAGGGCAGCACTTGGACCAGCACTGCTGGGTCACATGTGGATGACAAGGAGGGAGCGTGGTGGCCTGGAGTTGACCTAGGAAACTTGGTCAAACAGCAATTTGATGTTGATGGAATGTTTACTCATGATGGCTTTGAGAAGAGTCCCAGGTGACTCCAAGGATTTCTAAGTTTTTTCCTTGAAATGCCCATTGCTTCCTTTCTGTTGCCATTGTCCACTGGCTTTCACAGTAGCGGTAGCAGTCTTTTCTTAATCTTGTTAGCCTGCTCCACACCACAAAAACTGCAGTTGTGATGGGAGGTAAAGTGCTTCACTCTTCGATGTGAAGCCTACTTTCTCACGTAAGTTCCACGCCAGCCCATGACCTGCCCTGTCTTTGCCTCTGCTACTCTTAACACTGCTGTAATAGAATCCCACAGATCAGGTAATTTATAAATGATAGAGGTTCCTCTGGCCCATGGTTCTGGAGGCTGGGGAGCTGGCATCTAGTGAGTGCCTTTGTTCTGCAGTATAGTGGACAGGTGAGTGGCAGAGAAAGGAAACTGGCCCAACTTGTCCTTTCCATCGGGAACTTACTTCCATGTAATGGCATCAATCCATTTGTGAAGGAAGAGCCCTCCTGATCCTTTAATGGTCCCACATCTTCATGGCTGTTGGACAATTAAATTTCAACAGGAGTTGCAAAGGAGACATTCAAAATATAGCACCGAGCATATTCATTATCTCTAAGGATTTCCTGTGCTAGCTCTTTCCATCTCCCCAAACAAAAATGGATCTGCCAACTACAGGTTTGCTTGAATTCCTAGAACTCGATGCCTACATTATTTTTGTGCAAATTCTCTCACTCAACATACTTATTGGAGACTCATCCACGTTGTAGCCTGTGTCAAAAGGTGATGCTCTTCTCTGCTGAGTACTGGGAATATTCCACTGCAGGCTCACCAGTTTACTCGTTCATTTGCCCATAGAGCTTGAAGTTGTTTCTACATTTTTTTTACATTATGGATAATGGTGCGATAAGCCTTTGCATGCAAGTGTTTGTGTGATCATGTTTTCATTGCTTTTGAGTAGACAATCAGGAAAGGAATTACTGGGTCATATGGTAAATTCATATTTGGTTTTCTAATAGACTACCAGGTCTGTTTGACCACAGGGCTGTCACTCTGATCATGTCAGCTGATTGCAGAACAGTGTAGACAGAGGCAAAGATGTTGAAGAAGAAAAATAATAGCCAACATTTATTCTGCATTTATTACATGCCATGAATCCTGCTAAAATTTTTAATGCATTCTCACTGATGTCCTCTGATAATTCCCCTGAGATTGGTAGTATGATTATCCTTCTTTATAGGTGAAGAGACTAAGATTTCAAAACTAGATAACTTAGAAGTTAATCAGAGAGTTTTCTGACCTCAAAACTTATGACTCGGGCTGGGGATTTAGCTCAGTGGCATAAGCACCTGCTGGGCAAGTGCAAGGTTGTGAGTTCGATTCCTGGTAGCAGAAAAAAAAAAACCCTATGGCCTTCACCATAGTTAAATGAAAGAGTCAAAGTACATGATTTTTGTGTTTGCTTTGTCTCATACTGGACAAATGCTTGTTCCACTAGTTGCATGAATCAGTGAGGGAGGTTTGGTCAGCTGAGATGTGATTAATCTTATTTTAGTTGTTAGTTTAGGGATCTAAGGAAGATGTGTTGCTGTTATGGCTTAGATCAAGAATGACTCCCACAGTGCTCCTGTGCTCAGAGATGGGGCTGCTGGAAGGTGATTGGATGGTGGGGTTTGGTGGCCATGGCTAAATGTGATGCAGGAGGTGGGGCTTGGTCCAAAGAGATGGCTCACTGCGGGGGAGGTCTGGAGGGGTATATGTATCTTTCCTCTGCCCCTCCCTTCTTTCTCTGCTTCTGGGCTACTCCAAGGCAAACAGCCCCTTTCCTCTCCTCTGCCCCTCTGCCATGCTATTCTGCTATGGAGTCAGAAGACCATGAGTTGTAAACATGAGCCAAAATAAACTTCTCCTCTTTTAGAGTGTGGGTATCATGTATTATGTCTCAGTGTTGAAGAAAATGACAAACATAGCAACATACACTGAAAAATTATTTGCTAGATTTCTATATGCCCCATGAAAATAATTTTATAAGGATGTTTAATCCAAATATATGACTATATTTAAAATACACTTGTTATTCACTTGGTTTGGATAATAGCTCTTTAGAGGCGACATTCATCAAAACACAGCTAGTGCGAATGGACTAAATGTAGAAACCTGAGATCCTATAATAGGGGAGAGGTCAGCATCATACAGCAGGACGAATATGAGTCTGGGAGTAAAACAGTCTTGGATTGAATTTTCAGTCTGATATTGCACAGTAGAAAAGCTATGAAATGTCATTTTCCTCATCAATAGGAGTTTACGTTGTCCATCTTGAAGGATTTTTATGGGAATTAAAGATTACAAATTAATTGTGTAGAGAAGCAGTAGGTTCTTGGCAATTGCCAGCATTGAATTCCTTTTCCCAGTTCATTTATCTTTTTAGAGACTTAGATTTTTCCTTCTGGATTTGAAATACTAAGCCCTTTCCTGCTAGGAGTGGATCTTTTCCAAACTATGGGAATTTTTGGGTGTTTGCAACATGTTAATTTTGGTGGCACCATATCTCAGACTTTTGTTAACTTTTGAAGAAATCCATGATTGAAATATGTGTTAGTTAGGTCTCCCTTACTGTAACAAACCCTTGAGATAGTTGGCTTTTAGAGAGAAAAGGTTGATTTTAGCTCACAGTTTGAGTCATCCTGGTCCATGATGGATTGGTCTTGCTGCTTTGAGGCTATGGTGAGGCAGTGCATCATGACAAGACCGCATGGGAGTACAAAAGTGCTAGTGTCCGCCAGAGTCCTACTCAAGCACAGACCCCAGGGAGCTCCACAAGGTGTGATTCGTACAGCTTCTCCCACATATAAGGGACTAAGCCTCTAACACATGGGCCTTTTGGGGACACTGAAGATCCAAACAATTGCAAAGGCAACACAGAACCACCCTTCATTCTTGAATTTAACAGTAGTTACTGAATCCTGATCAGGAGTCAAGTATTTTGCACAGGTAAACTTTGTTTCTACCTTTAAGGAACTCACGGTCTAAAGTATGCTACGTGGCACTTTATACATCTGTGGGTTCTCATGCTAATTGTTCGTGTTTATATGGATTATATTTTAAAGATTGGTACTCAAAGCAAAAAGTAGAAGAGTTTTGGAAAACTAGGGTAGAGATAGAAGTGATGTGGGGGAAGAGGTCTAGGAACCAAGGGTATAAAGCCTCCTGATGTTCACATTTAACTGACAGCTGCTCCTTGGCCGTGTCAGGGTATGCAGGCCCTGCCCTGTGCAGATGTCCCTAACTGTGAGGAATGAGGGGTGTGGGGTGTGGGATGCAGCTGGAGCTCCCCTCACCAAGTTGGGTGCCCTCGGAACTCTGTCTACCTGGAGGTAGCAATTTTTTAAAATTTATTCAAACTGTCAGCTCAGTATGTTGCTGCTACACAGTGGGTAAATGTTTTCCTTCAGGAGCTGAGCTTTTAAACATTTAAATGGATCAACTCTAGTCTTGAAAAGAAAAAGAAAAAAAGTGCGTTCTTGGCTCAATTGATCTCTTAGTGGACAGGATCAAGATAGCAGATGGGTCACTGGGTCAGCAGCCTTTGCAACACAAAAGTGCGCCTTTCAGCCTCCTGTCTTTCTAGGCAGTTAGCAAGGTGAGCAGGAAAGATCCTTAAGCTGCAGAGGAATTTGAGTAATCGAGCAGCTCAGGCCTCTCATTTTAAGTGAGGAAACAGATGAAGAAATAGGTGAAGACAGTGGGGTCCAGGGGCTTAGGTGGATTCTCTGAGCTCCTTGGCCTTTTTTGAAGCATGGGCCACTGCTCTTCAGCAGCGCAGCTGAGCAAGGCACACCCCGGATGACACGCTTTAATGGCAGGGCACTTGGCAATGGGAAAGGGCCTCTCTGCAAATGACACTATTTCTGGCGATTTTATCCACAGCCACTGGCTCTACTCACTCCATCATATCTCAGGGCCAGGGCCTGTGCATATTTATTCTTCTGAGTCTTGCACTTTGCTCTTTTTATTTTTACTGGCCCTGCACTTGTGTTTGTTCTTGTGCTTGTGCTCTCTTCATGCATATTGCATGAGGCCCCATGTTTAACTTGAGCTCAGGACTAAATATAAACCCCACTATCACCACAGGCACCGTAGATGTCAGCCCTTTGTCACTGTTTGCAAACTCCACCCTGAGGTCACAGGCACAGGGCAGCCTACTGCACCACATTCATGGGAGCATGGGGGAACCAGCCCCGGGAAGAAATCAGTTCTTATCACTGTTGAATTCATGTGGAGGGTCCCTGGTGTGCCAAGAGCCTTGGCCTCCAAGGACCTGTAGGGGTGGATTTAGAGGCCTTCTTCTCCAATTAATAGCATGGTAAGTGTCCTTCCTGGGCTCCACTCCCATCTTGTGGGCTACTGAAAGGAACTGGAAAGTGTCTACAGCACTGCCACATCTTCCAGGGATGCTGTCACCCCGTCCCTGAAAGAATCTGGCAGTGACTTTATGTTGTATTCCGGACCTGAGAACATGGTTAGTAACAGCAGTCAGCCTGTTACTAACAGGTTTCTGTGAAACTCCCCCAAACCCTCCTATGGATGCTGTTGTCTCCTGTTTTAAGCAATTACTGCAGTGGTTAAAAGTCACCCGCATGGTTTGTGAATTAGTCTGTGGCTTCTGTCTTGGCAGAAGGAGGGTAAAAGCCCTCAGAATCTGAGCCTCGTGACTTCTGCTGAGCTTTCCTTTCCTGCTCTGCTCACCCACACCTGTGGGTGTGGCCAATTTGCCAATTTCACTGTCTCTCAAGAACAAGGAAGATTTGAATTAGTGTTCGCCCCTTCACCCCCACCTCTTCCCTAAACAGGGTGGAATCTGCTCTGCGCTATGATATGATATCGGCTGGACTGTGACAGACGTGAAGGGGCGGCCCGTGGGGCAGCAGGACCTCTTAGACAAATAAACTCAGTCAGAGTCGAAAGCGGACACTTGCTCGGCCAGCTGAGTCAACCCAGGAGGGTGAGATAACAGAACTCGAAACCACACACTCTCTATCTTCCGAGTGGGTCTGAAATCAGATCTTTTACAATTTCCTCAGGGTCCACAAGGCCAGAGATTCACTTCTTTGAAAGAATCCTACATGTGCTGACCTCATTCTCCAAACCAGTCCCTCTTTTTCTCCTTCCCTTCCATCCAGCTATTGTGGAGCTACTATGCACAAGGCTAGCTTAACAAGGAAGACCGAAATGTACTCCTCAGAGCTCACTGTCCAGGTGAAAAAATGGAGCAAGAGAAGGACCAATAGAGAAGATGACTGGGATGCTGCTGGGGACTGTCAGAAGGTGTTTAGGAGCAGAGATGGCTTTGGCATGAATCTAGGAGAGTGGGTGACAGTAGGGAAAGAAGAGAGCCAGGAGAGGACAGGAGAAGCTCTTGGAGTGTTATGAACTTGCTCCAGCCCCAGGAAATGGAGCAGGTGGAGATCCTGAGATTGCAGGGAGCAGAAAGGGGAGAGACAATATGGCTCCCCTGGAAAAAGACCCTGGCAGGGCAGGGGCATGACAGGAACTTGCCTCCCGCGTTTCTCCCCCAGGATGACTTCAGAAAGCTGTGTCATCCTGCAGCCGCAGGGCTGGCGACTCTTCTCTGTGGCCAGCTGCCCGTTAAGCTGATTTTCCAGACAGTCTCAGCAGCCTCCATTGGCTATCCATGAGCCTGGAATAAGCCTTGTTCTTTTCCTTGGTTTTGTGTTTTCGAGTTCCCTTATGTGCCACCAAGATTTTGAAGGAGATACAGTGTGTTTGATGCTTTCTGGGAAAAGAATAGTCCTGGTTGCTGCGAAACTAGCTGTGAGATTGTTGGCAGGTTTGTTGACAGGGGTGTGGTGCTGATAGCCAGAGTGCGGGACTTTCTATGGATTTGACATTTCTACTTCTGATGGTAATCCAGCAGGGTCCTGAGGATGTGTGCTCCTGGTGCAGCTGAGCACACAGAGGATGGGGGTGCTGTCTAAGTGTGCTGGGATTTGCTGTGGGCTCAAGGTGGGGCCTCCTGATCCTCAGCGATTTGTGGTTAGAACCAGAATTTCAAGGTTGCTGTGGCCCAGGGTCCATGTAGGAAGGTGTTAGGAAACGAATTACTAGATCATTACGTGCAGAGTTGTGTGAAGCCTGTGAGAAGCTTTATCCCAGAACATAAAGCAGGATCTTCTTTCTCCTATCTCAGATGGGCAGGTAATACTGTGTTGACATAAGATCAAAGTTCACATGCCCTTTGGAAACAGGCAGTAAAGTCTACTGGCAATAAATGAGATTAAATTTTTCTTTTTTTTCTAACAGTAGCGAAGTTTTATTAAAGGTAGGAAAAGAAATTGGCTCTGCAGAGCGAGTTTGGGCCAAGTAAAAGTAGGAAAAGAAGTTGACCTTACAGCATGAGGGTTGGCTGCAAACAGAGTGGGCTAAATATTTCCTTATGTGGTATTTCTAGCCGTATCATAAGTCTAATGCATTTGCACACTGCCATGATTGCCATTATTCCGCACCCCATGTAAAGCAGGTTACCAAGTAGACCTGGTAAGAATTTATGGAGACTTATTACCCTTCCTTTCTCCATGTTACCCATTCCCTACCGAAGGAAGTCTGAACTCCATTCGTTTAAAGCCATGTATAACCTGGTTCCTTTGGATCGACAGTATTTGAGCACTAATTATGTGCCAGGCCAAAGACACAACAAATTTGTCACCTTTGTGTCATTTAGACTCTAGTAGGAGAGAAAGTCAAGACAAATAAAACAGTTTATAACATTGGGTTACGAAAAGTTCTACGAAAAATGCATAGCAGGGTCGGGGCCAGCTCACCTGCCATGGCATCCATATTTCATGCTTAGTCACTAGAGGAGCCTTTGCTACCCCCAGGCTGCCTTCCCCACCACTCCCCATAGCACAGAGACCCCTGAAGGTGGTGTGTGCCTTTGAATGATCTCTTTCACCGGAAGTCTCCAACTCCCCTTACCCTCATTTTGCCCTGTTATGTTTGTTATTGATCCAGATCTTGATGCTTTTTGTATCTTATTCTTTCCATTTGAGTTCAAGTTTCTTCTTATAGCACAGCCTTTTTGTTGAGGATTTTGGAGTAGTGATATATTCTTGTGGTCTTTGTCTGAATATATTTTTATGTTGTTGGATCTCAGAAAATGGTACCCCAGAAGTACGGGGCTTTGGTGTTTTAGGTATTATGAGCTGTATCCCACTGGAAAGGCCCAGGAAATATTCTTTCTGACTTCTTATTCTGTTTTATTTTGCTTTTATTCTCCCCTAAGACAGGCCTTGGAAACTAGCATTCCCTTTTCCGAATGTAGCTTGTAGAAACGAGAACTGTACTCTTCCCCCAAAGCCAGCCATAAACCTAGAAGTGTCATTCTAGCCTTAGTCTGCCTTTCTGTGTACGAGCTGGGTGGCTTAGTTACTTCTTGTTGCTGAGACAAAATACCTGACACCAAGTTAAAGGAGGAAAAGTGTATTCGACTCAGTTTGTAGAGGTTACAGTTCACAGTTGTTGGCTCCACAGCAGGGCAGCATCACAGAAGAGACATGGTTCATAGAGGGCAGCAAGGCACAAGTGATAATGTAGCCCACTTTCTGTCCCCTACACTCCATCCAGGCTTCTTGCCTTTTTTTTTTTTTTTTTTTTTTTTTTTTTTTTTTTTTTTTTGTCTTTTTCCTTTTCATCAGTACCGGGGATCAAACTCACAACTGCCTGCTTGCAAGGCAGGCGCTTATGCCGCTGAGCTAAATCCCCAGCCCCCCCCATCCAGGCTTCTTGCCCTTAGTGTAGGTTACTCCCATCCTCAGGGTGGGGCACCCTTAATTCTATGGAGAATTATGCCAAATTAATCAGTGGACTGATTTAGTAATCATATACCCTCAATCCCAGCATCAGACACTCTAGATCCAGCCACCTCTGAAAAGCCTCATCCATCTATGACTGCTTGAAGCTTTGGGGGGACATCTAGGCACAAGCCATGACAGTGGCTACAAGAGACATTCTCTGACCTATCTGGTCTGGTAGTAACAATAAGAAACTCCTTCCCACGGGGTCCAGCTCCATACCTGGGAGGAAGGAAAGCCAGAGACAGAGGCCAAGACAAAACCAGACAGGCGTTGCCAGCTTCCTCCTTTGTCTACTACCATTAGATAATCCAATTACCTTTCACTCAATCACACTGCTCCATGGCTTTCCATTCTTTGTCAAATTTAAGCATTAAAAGGTACAGTTTTCCCAAGGGTTTTTTGGGTCTTCATTTCTGGACAATTTCATGTCATGTTAAACTGATTACATAAATCTGCTATGCTTTTCTATTGTTAATCTCTCTCATTATAGGGGTGTTGGCTGTGACTTTTATGATGGGTGAGGAAAGAGGCATCCTGCTTATCTGCCCTTACAATTTTCTACTTTTATGTGATAATTTAACCCTATGTAGATGAATGTGGGTTAAAATTATTTCCCCTCAGCCCTTTGAAATAGTATTCCTATTGCTGAGGTAGAGTAGCTTTTTGCTAATTGTTGCTTTTAGTAGAGTGTGTGCGTGTGCATGTGCATGTGTGTGTGTGTGTGCACGTGCGCACACGTGTATGTGTGTAGCATCACCAGTGTGATTAGGTGTACATTTAATTTTTTCTGTTTTGTCTGAGACATATGTCTTCATATCTTCAAAAATGAATTCTCACTCATTCTCCCAAATCTCAAATTGTAATTAAGTTCTGTCTCTTCTATCTTCCATTTCTCCTAATGTTCTCTAATATTTTCCCATCTCTTTATCTTTCTGGCTGTATAATGGATGACCTGAGCATACATTTAACAATTATGGATTAAAATAATCCATTTGCAATTCGCATATTTCCTCTTCAGTTTTGACGATCTGCTGTAATCATTGCATACTAACTTTTAATCTCAACAATCTTTATTTTTAGAAAATTTTGTCTTGTTTTTGTTTTTCTCATAATACCTTTTCTTTTCTTGGCATTTTGATTCTTGGAGGGAATGTATTTAAGCATTTATTTAATCATTTGTTTAATCATCTCAAATACATTTCTATGCTCTTTGAAAGTAACATTCTATTCTTTTGTGTCTAATTTTCCTATTTATGTTGCCTTCTCATTGTTGCAAAGGATGAACTGTTTTTCAGGTATTGTGTAAGTATTTATTTGCACTTTAATTGAGATTGTGTATGTGGGAGAAATTTCTTGTAGCATGGATTACTAAGTATAATCTTCTAATGTTGTCTGTGTCTTCTTTTTTGTTAGTACATGATTGTAGTATTTACATTCTGTTGGAATATTTGGTACATGTCCATAATACATTTTAATTGCTTTTTCCGATCCC